TTTTTTTAATTTTGTGAAATTTATTAAAGTTGTTTTACTGTATTTTTTGATGTATTTGCAGTGTGAGTTTGACCTAATTTAAATTTTTAGCTAAATGGAAGAAAAGTCGCTATAGATTGGGCAATTGATAAAGACACTTATGAAACGGCTTGTCATGAAGGTCATATAGAAAAATCAAATTATATCATTTAACTAATTATGCATTAATTCCCTTTTTTCAAAGCCTTTTTTATTTTAGCTAAACTTGGTAAGGCATCTTCAAGTGAAGGGTTAGAAGAGCTGTCCAAAACAAGGTCTACGAATGATAGTGCTCAAATGGAAGTCGATGAGGGTGCTAGCGATACTAGTGATGTAGAAGAAGCCGTTGATGTGGAGGATAGCGAAAATGTAGAAGTCTCAACAGAAACAAAAGAACATTCAGCAGAATGGAGAAAGAGACCTGATAAAGCTCTTTCAGAAGGAAGAGTTGTTTTTATTAGGTTAAACTTATTTCTTTTAGGTTTATTAATACCTCTGTAGAATTAGAGTTTGTGTGATGACGCCTGTTGGTGAAAATTTGGTATCACTTGGAGATTCTGTTTATCTCAATTCGAGTTAGCGTTGTACTTATTGTGTTTGCTGAAAACTGCTGAAGATTTCGTTGGTGTAGCTGACTAACCACCATATTCGATAACTATACCGAACTGATTTTAAATTAGTCTAGCTTTATATATTTAGGAATTTATCATACGAAACTACTGAAGATTCCTTGAAAGATAGCTTAGAACGGTTTGGGAAAATTAATTTGGCAATTATTTGTCGTTACAGCGATAGTGACCACTCAAGAGGTACTGCTTTTGTGCATTTTACATCTCGCACTGATGCTGATAACTGTCTTGCCGCATTTGAAAACGTAAGTAATTGTTTTATTAACTTTATTTTTCTGTACTGTGTGTTATCTGATTAAGAAAAGATGTTTTTGTGCAGTTCTGCATCAGCAACTGTTTTTTAGGAACCTGGTGTTTTTATAGATGGGAGAAAAGTTTATGGAAATCGTGCTGTTTCGAGAGAAGAAGCAACAAACCTTGAAAAGGTTTTTTTATCTTTTTTTTGCTATATTTTTAATTATATCAGGCTAGAGTATTTATTGTTTTTATCCGAGGTGAGCCACTAAGGAAAAAAAACTATTAGTTAGGAATGCATTAATTCAGTTTTGTGTTTCGAAGCATGTGGCTCCATGGAAGCTCCAGAATTTTATTTAATTCCTAAAATTATTTTATAAATTTTGGATGAACAGTAAGGCGTTTTTTGGGTTCAAGAGGCGATAGGACTTAAGTTGAAAAGAAAATGTTGATCGCGACGTTTGACAACGCCGAAATGTATTAAACTGATAGGGTCTTGCTTGGTATTTAGCCATTATGTTTAAGAATTTTTGAAAAAAAAAGTTTAATTTTTTTGGTTTTCTTATTAGGCTGTGTCTTTCGTTTATACAATTGTTAGTTGGCATTTCTGCTGAAGGCGAGCTGAAGGACCGGAGAGGAATGTTGAGAATTTTGAAAAGCAAAAGAGACATGGATTTAAAAACAAAAAAATATTTTTTAGAAATCTTTATTTAAAAAAAAAAACAACAACGGAGATTTGATTTGGCAGTCGTTTAGGACAAATCATTACAATGAAAGTGAAGTAGTCTGTAAAAATTTCTCATTTACTGCTTTATTACTGGATTACAGTATCAGCATATCAAACCGTATTTACAGAAGTCCCAAAAAGGATAAGATCTTTTCTCATTAAAAATTGGTAAATTCAATCAAAAATTTTGATGTAAAAATACTCTCTCGTTTGATTTCTAGTTTCGAAGTTTACAAAAATGTATTTAGAGTTTTAATATTTTCTGCAGCATGAAATCCTTTCAAACATTTTTTTTTTATTTTAGCGATGGTTTTTTCTTTAGTGCTGGTTTATTTCATTTTTGATCACTTGCTGGTTTTTTGTATAGAAGTTGATTGAAACTGTTTCAGGGAATTGGAAGCTTAGTTTAACAGCTAAATCGGGAGACTTGTTTAGATTTAGCAAAGTTCTAAGCACAGTTTTAGTTGAAAAATTATATATTTTTGCTCTTTAGCGCTCTTTGATTGTTTTGTCTTTCTACCGTCAGATCCTAATAAGAATATGGGTTTGAAAAGTCTACAGAAGGAAGTGTTTTGTTTGGTTGTAAGTCACTGATTATGACATTTTTGAAGCGTAAGTTGGAGAAGAGGCCTAAAGATAAACGCAATTTGTATTTACTACGATCAAGCATGATTCGTCCAGGCACGGTTGCTGCCAGAGGAATGAGTAAATTCGATGCGGAAAAACGAACAAAGCTTGCCTTAGCCACGCGTCAAAAACTTAATAATTTACATATGTAAGTTAGTACATGAGCTATTCATTTTATGGAAGCTTTAAAACTATGTTTTACGCTGAACTGGTTAGTAATCGTCTATTTGATCGTGCATATATCTAAAATTTAAATTGGGGTGGGCTTTACACCTCAGCTGAATTCAGTTGCCTTTTAAAAGATGTGGATCTTTAAAAATATTTAGGTTTATTTCGCCTATACGGTTGTTAATTCATAACATTCCACCCTCTCTTGATGATCGAGCACTTCAGAGTATCTGCTTTCTTGCTGCTGGGAATCCGGAAGCAAATATCACTGAAGTATGCGGTTGTATTTTTGTGGTTTAATAATATATATTAATCGGTAATTTTGGCAGTTTTAAGTTAGTGATAATGTCTCGGAACTTATCCCGTAACAGTGGCCTTCAGCTTAAAAAAATGTAGAGTTTTATTAGGGAACGTAGTGTTGACTGTTATACGGTGTAAAATCTTTTTTCTAATTGAAGTGCCGTATTTGGAGAGACAGAAAGAAACTGGACGATAAGGGTGTAGGCCGCTCCACAGGTTTTGGCTTTGTGGCATTCTCCCAACATAAGGATGCACTCAGTTGTTTAAAGGAGTTGAACAATAACCCTAAAACTTTTTCGAATGAGAGGGTTTGTTGTAGATATATTTATCCGTGAATAGAAATAATGTGTGTCAAGTTAGGTCTTTAGCTTAACTGACGAATTTTTCAGATGAAGTTTTACATTTTTTTGGTTCTTCCGTTTTTTATGTGTCACTTTTATTTCTTCGGTATTTTTAGAGGCCTATCGTTGAGTTTTCCGTAGAAAATATGTCAGTATTAAAACTGAAACAAAAAAGGCTGGAAATGAGTAGGGCGGGGAAACGTGTAAATGGTAGTAAGACTGACGAAGCTCAGAACAGAAGGGATCTCGCGGAAACGAAGAGATTGTTGGCTGCGGGAGGGCAAAAACCCTTTCCATCACATTTAGGAACTAAAACAAGACATCAGGATGGGAAAAGGAAGTCGATGTCAAAAAAGGTTGGCAACATAATTTATGTTATACCAGTGAAATATTGCTATTTTAAACTGTTTTAGAAGGGTTCAAAGCGACAAATGGGTGGGCACAATCTTCCAACTAATGGCAAAAGAAACAACGCTAAGAAGGCAAAATTTAGTAGCAAGAAGCTGCTGACAAAATATCTTACCTTTTCCTGAACGACTCTATTTCACTATTTTAATTTTTTGTGAAGTTGAGGTGTCTCAGTTGTTTATTGTTGCCTTACTGTCAAGGTCTTGGCCTTTGGAAATGAATTATCTGAAGTGTTTTACGGGGAAACATTATAGTGCCATAATGTTTTGGAAACAACTTTTTGCTCATATTAAACCTTTTGTTCAGTTGCAGTAAAGCTGAAATGAGCGGAAAGCTGTGGCCAAAATTGCTATGATTTAAATTTTAATTTTTTTGGAACTACACAGTTCAAAATAAACAATCAAAAAATTTTAAGGATTTTGACTGAAAAGATTTCTTCACGAAAAGGATGCGATAGCTTAAAGAATGTTGGGTTATTTTAGGCTTGCGTCAAGGCC